TTTTGCTGGTCCCTTGCAATTTGATTTAGAGAGGTTCAACTGTACAGTACTTTAATTTTTATAAAGTGTGACTTTATGGCAGAGACTTTAAAACAAGTTTGTAGTAAGCTAGAATTCATTATAAAAAGGTTCCATAAGCACAGTTGGACCTTGGCAATGAGCCAAAACCTTGCTTCTACAGTATAAACAAATAAGCCAAAGACTCAAATTTGAAAACTCTTTCCATCATATTTTCTTGAAATCTTTTGAAATTAAACTAAGAGAGGTTTCATTATTTTCAAAAAGTATTCAAATGATAAACTTACCCCAAGTATGAGTACGTTCATGAGCCGGTCTATGGATGTTCGCTTGAACTTGGTTTTCCCAGAATTCATCATCAATTTGGTGTCTTGTCCAGCAAACAACACCAGGCCATAAGCCCACTGGGTGTTGCGCAAAACACAACCTCGCAATAACACCTTGTCATTGTCCAATGCTAGTCTGCTGATGTTATTAGAACTTGAGGCCCTGCTGATGTTGTTGCTTGTTACCTCAACATCTCCTGAATTCTGTGATAGATGGTATAAAACCTATTTTTAAATTTCCCTACGTTAGTCTTTATATGGAGCAAATATTTACGCTCTGGTGGTCCCATTCAAGAGTGCCTTCAAATCTTGACAAATTGTTGTTGGGTGGTTCACACCAAACTGCTCCATTGAAGGCACTCAGAAGCTGGGGGTCATTGCCAAGTACATCATGTGTTTCAGGCAAGCACTGTCTAGCCTTCAAATTTGTTTCTCTGAATTTGAAAAAAAAAATTTTGACTGAGTTGAAGCTGTTTTTCAGGACAGCACTTATTTGAAGCTTATATCTAAGAAACAAAGATATTTCAAAGTTCAGCATGAAAACCAAATTCAGTGGGCTAAAACAAATTTATCATGTGCAATCTTTTTTTGAGATATGGATGACATAAGAATATGTAAACCTTTTGAATTAATTTTTGATTTCATATTCATATAGCAAATGATATTGATATAATTTTTTCAAGATCTCTGTACAACCTTTAGTCATTACAAATTTGAAATGCACCTTCTCATTGAGGTAAATTTGGCATCATGCATGGTTTCAAGTTGAAAGCTTTCGCTCCAAGAATGAAGAGGGTCACTTCACATGTGAATAAGGAATGAAGAGCCTATTTTGTTTCCACATACATACCCATCTAACTCAGCAGTTTCTATGTAGCATAGTCCATTCGGCTCAGATGTGGACAGCAGCAACAAATCAGCGGTGACAAAATCATCACTGGACAGTCTCACAACGTCCCCAACCAAAACCTGACTCCATTTCTCTTCCACCAACTGTCCTTTCCCTGGCCTCAGAACAAAAGCTTTCCTGTTGTTCACCTTTGAATCGTTTCTGTGTCTTTGCTGTCAAAAGATTAGCCAAACAATCAATGGGATTTATTTGAGAGAAACTTGAAGTTCAAATTTCAAACCAGCAGTCCTTGGTCAATCAGACCAACATAATTAAACCCTCTCAGATTCAAAAATTATTGACTTTAACCTCTTTTTATAAAATACGTACATGCCATTCTTTAAATAACCTGGGACTATTAAATCTTAAAATACAGGAACTGTATACTTGTTACAGTAATCAGAAAAAGAAACAAAGAATAATCCTTTTCTTGGAGGATAAGTCATTTTTCTGCATGGAAAGATAATATATCCATTGATTGACCAAGAAATTAAAATATTGGGCCATGAAATAAGTTTATTTTGTTAGAATGAACAAATTATGCCACATTCTCTTGACTTGACAGCTTCCTGAGTTGTTTTCATCTTCTGAAGTCCCTTTTGGGCATTAATAGAACCCAAAAAAGAAGGGATGATTAAGACGCCTAGAAAAAATAAACAACACAGGCAATCATGTGGTCAAAATTTTATATTTAATTGGACACCTTGAATATATGTACCTAATTTTTCCAAATAATTTATTGTGTAATTTGACGGCAGATGAATGACACAACTGGAATTCCCTCAGTGTATTCTCTTCACCACAGTCCCATACTAAATGTCCCTTTAAACATTTTAAATTTACAATGCTTTGCTTAAATAATAAATATCCCAGCTTCCAGAATACATCGTTTTTGCCAAAATTCGATTCCGCTCACCCAATCATCATAGGCATCCTTGACTGCTGTTATTGACAGCACAAAAATCAATGGAACAGCAGTTGTAATCGGAGACAGAGACGAGATGATCGGGATCAG